ATAGACACATTGAATAAACTTTACACAGAAGACTTTGAAATTAAAAACAAAAAACTTGAAGAAGATTTTCAAGTTGAACTTTCAAAAATAGAAAAAATCAAAGACAATAAAATTGATGAGTTGGCAACCATCAAAAACGAACGTGCAAAAATGGAACAAAATTTTAATTTTGGTCTTGAAATGGCGAACGTAAAAAACTCGAGGAATTGTCAAAAATGAAAATTTCCAATATCGTGTTCAACTCAATTGAAGATGATTAATCCAAAGATACATCTGTGTTTGATGACAAAATAAAAGGAAATTCCAATTATCTTTTTTTGATTGAAGATGACCAAAAGAATAAGTTTGGAGGAGTGTATTACAGTTGGGGACATTTTGGTGAAATAGGTTATACAATGGAAGAATCATTCATCTTCTCGCTAATGCGAAATGGGATACATAACCCTCAAAAATTCGGTTTACAAGAGGGACAAATTGACAATTTTATTATAACTTGTACTAAAGACAATCCTTATCTTTTTAAGTTTGGAAAACATGATGATGTTAATAATAACAGTGACATTATTGTTGCAAAATGTGGTTTAAATTTGAGCAAATGTACTCCAAGTAGTTACATAACTCAAAGTGGAGATCTCATTGATGGCCAAACATTTATACCAAAAAGTGTTCGTGTTTTCCAACTCAGTTATTAATTCATTTTTTTAATAATTGTATTTAAATTTATATTTTTATTTCAAAACTGTCAAAATAACACATAAAAAATTGATAAGACAATTTCGAAAATATAACATTAAAATTAATAATAAAATAGTTTATAAAAGTTATTCAAATAAAATAATCTAAAATGCGTTATTTAACTGTTACTATTCAAAGATTGTTTCACTTTGTGCTGTTAAATTTGCTCAAACTTTTATTAATAACATTCGAAGACTTGAAAACCCAAACCAATTGTACCAACAAGGTAAAGACACCATGTACTTCTTTATACATCTAGTGGTCGTTTCAAATAATCTCTTTGTTCAAGGCCTTCACAACAATGTTGGAGTAAAAACAAATAACAATCCAAAAGATTGTCAATCTAATACAAAAGAAGTTATAATTTGGATGTAAAAGACGTTACCTGTCGATCAACAGTAGAAGTAGATTGAGTTGAGTCTTTTATTGTATCTCTTGGTAATAAAGTTCTATTCAAATCAACAAGAGAGTATATAAAAAGCGAAGTAGCTGCACATATGATGTCACATACAAAGAAAAAAAAACAGAGATTAATGCATTGTTAGAATCTAACAATAAAAATTATTTTTTTGAAAATAACGATATGATGTGTTCATTACTTTAGCTATTGATTTCTAGCGTTATGAATTTTACAATGAAAAGTTGTAATTAAGTAAAGCTCTTACAGAAAAATGATTTTGCAAAAAAAACAGAAAAATATAACTATTTTTCTTCTGACTAATTGTTTTTGTCCAATTTGATAGAGACTTTCTGACACTGAAATTTCATCCTTTTCAATGGTTAAATTAATATAACAGAATTTTGATAAAATTGAACATTTTATCAAATTGTTCAACTGATTGCAAAAAGACGATTTCACATTAAAAAGCCAAAATACTATTAATAGAAATGAATAACACTTTTGTGTATATCCTTTTTAGGAATGTTGCAATGAGGTATTTCTATAAAATTGAAGTCGACAAAAAAAACAGAAAACAACTTCAAATTTATTAACTTTGACACTTTTTATCTTTAAAAAATTGAAAAAAAGCCTTAGGCTAGTAGTATATAAATTATGTAGATTTAATGCACCTTACATTTTAACTATATTTTCTCATAATTTTAAATAAAATCGCGAGGGACGCGAATCTGA